AACATTTTTTAAACCTTCATTTTTGTTTTATGTGTATGGATGTTTTGCCTGAATGGGTATCTGTGCAACATGCCAAAAAAAAGAGCATCAGATCCCCTGGAACTGCAATTATAGACCATTGTGAGCTACGTTGTGTGTGCTGGGAAGTGAACCCAGGTCCTCTAGAAAAGCAGCAACTGTTCCTAACTACTTAGCCATCTTCCCAGACCCTTTTTAGAAAGATGAGGTCTTGCTGTGGCACATAGGCTGGCCTCCAACTTACTGGGTAGCTCAGACTGGGTTCAGGCAAACCAGTTCTTTTCCTTAACCTCCCAAGGGCAGGGATTATTGGTGTGTGTCGGCCCGTACTGCCTCAACTGGCGTGGTTTTGATTATTGTAAAAGCACAGTCTATGGAGGTAAACACAGAGTGGAAATAACTTGTGAGTAAACTATAAAATCTAAACTCTGGGTATAAAATGCAATCCAGAGCAGAGTAACTTGAGTAGACAGGCTAGATACATTTACACTGAGTACATGCATTGAAAGGAAAGGCTTTTAAAAGAGAGCATATGGGTCAATTTAATTGTGTTTTAGTCTCTCAGGGCCTTTTTGGACTAAAATCATGAGCTTGAGGAACAAAGCATATTTTCTCTGCTTGTTTTACTTTGTTGTCTTTAATAAAGTGTGTGTGTGTGTATGTATGAGTATGTGTGTGTATTGTGTGTGTGTTTTCTGCTATGCATAAGCCATGGCACTTGTGTGAAGGTCAGGGACCAAGTTGTAGAAGTCTGTTCTCTTTCAAAATGTAGGTCCCCAGGGCTGGAACTCGGGGCATGTCCTCCTCGCAAGCAGCTTTGCCCATCTTTCCAGCTCTCTGCCTGTGTGACTCTGTACAGGTCTTCCCTGAAAGGGTGCCTGTTGGCTTGCTCTCATCCACATGGGCCTGCTCCTGTGCAGCCTGAGCCTTTTTTGAGACCAAGTCCCTTAAGTAGATGGAACAGTGGTGCCCTGCTGGCACCAGCTGTGTTTGAATGTAAGGCCTGGCTTTGAACAGAACTTTTTGCCTTGACTTTTCACCAGTCTTTCTCCTTAAGGAATTGTGTGTGTGTGTGTGTGTGTGTGTGTGTGTGTGTGTGTGTGTGTAAGTGTGTAACTGTCTACGGGTTTTCCCACAAATCTTTGGCACAAATTAATTTCTTAAAGTGCAGTATAGCAGACTTTACAGCAAGGTCCATACTGCACACACATCCTGCTGCTCCTGGCCAGGCAGGTGTTGACGTCTAGACTCTGGCTACTGGGACTTTGGCATAATACTTAATATTGTCAGTGAGCTGCATTATGATTTTCAAGTGAAAATGGACTGTGAATTTAAAATAGCCAGCAGCAGTTTTAAAACATTTGTGACTCAACAAGCAACTTCATGTACCTCCAGTTATGTCATATACATACAGAGTTTACCGGCTTCAGGTCATATGTTATTTCTTTGGTTTATAGATGGTAAGGGGCCAATGTGTCTTCAGTGTGATCGTTCATATTCTATGTCACTCGGGCAAGGTCTAGGGCACAGTACTGTCCCCGAACAACTTTGATCTTAAGAAATTTTGTGAATGCATTATGAAGAAATTGGTTTTCTTCTCTTTTTCTTTCTTTCTTTCTTTCTTTCTTTCTTTCTTTCTTTCTTTCTTTTAAATCTTGGAAAGGTTGTTCTGTTTTCTTGTTTGTTTTTAAGACAGGGTCTCCCTATACTTAAGGTTGGCGTAGAATTCACCCTAGCTCAAGCTGCCTGGAACTCAAAGTGCTCATCATGCTTCCTCCCAAGTGCTAGGATTAAACAGGCACAAACCACCATGCCTGGCTGTTTTGTCTTTTACTATTGTTTTTGGTTTGGTTTGGTTTGGTTTGGTTTGGTTTGGTTTTTTGACACAGGGTTTCTCTGTGGACCAGGCTGGCCTCAAACTCAGAGACCCACCTGCCTCTGTCTCCTGAGTGCTGGGAGGTCAGTGCCACCACTGACCAAGTTGTTTTGTCATTCTCTACATGAGAACTGAGTTTTTACCACCCAGAGGAAAGGTGTGCTGTGTCCCTGTCTTTGCTTCCTCTCTTACAGTGTGATAGGCTTTCTTGCCATATCGTGAATATCTTTGCTCTCTTGTTTTTCACTAAGATAATTTTACTTGCAAAAGAGAGATATATTGAAAGACTTTTTCAAGAACGTACATTCGTAAAGAGAATTTCCAAGAAGAAACAGTGTGAGATTCCATGTTGAGGTACTGGGAATTGGACCCAGGGCCTCACATATGTGAGGCAAACCAGTGAGCTACATCCCCAGCCCTTTTTAATTTGTATTGAGGATGAGGCCTTGCTAAGTGACCCAGGATGGCCATGTCCTACTTGTTCTTGCCTTTGCCTCCTGAATGCTGAGACTACAAACATGCTGGCATAAAGGGCCATTTTACAAACCCATGTTTTTCCTCCTTGGGTCTTCTTTACAATTTTTCTGAGACAAAATTTAATACACAATAGTGAAGATTTTTCTTACTGGGAGTTCTTGGCTTTAAGCATGAAAACAGTGAAATGAAAAAATGAACTTAAAAAATCAGGGAAATGTCACTTAGTTATTTCATCAGAAATGTTTCATAATCGTGTGAGTGAATTTGGCTAATATAAAAAACTTAAGCCTCAACATACATGGCACACATAAATTCCCTTGGGGTTTCTAGACATGAATTACAGTGTTACCCGGCCAGGCAGAGACCAAGTGTGCTGAGTGAATGCTGGAGTTCAAGTGTGTTTCCGTAAGTGGAGAAGATTCTGTGGTCAGGAGAAATGAAATGTTAGTATTTTTATACTTTTTGGCGGCTCAGCTCTCCAGAATTTTCTTTTATTACAATCAAAATAGCTTTGTTTACATAACATGTTTATGATTTGGGTGAAAACATGAGACCATTTCCAGGAAACAAGGGGTGTGTGATCTACCGTGTTCCTTATTTGAATCTTCACTGCCACCTTGTGTCTCAACTCCGTAGTACATCAGTTTGCTAAGCCCTACGTGCCGACTCCCTTAACTTTTAGCTGTTTCTGCACTTTGGAGAGATTGTTTTTAATTTCTGTGGAGGTGGGTTATTTTATTTGGATATTACTTTTCTAAAGATTAAGGTCAGTTTCACAGTACATAGAGTTCATTTTTGAGCTAGAGTCATTGTGCTATTTTGGTCTCTGATTCCTTATCTAAAGAATTGATTCATCTAGCTGACTTACTTGAGGCAGAGTTAATGTCTGATGTGCATAGAATGAGCCTTTGAAATTGACCAAATGCCTAATTGAAAACATAACCGTTTTTCAAATACCTGTCAAATACCTCCTGCTCTGCTCATGCTGAAAAAGTTTGCGGCATGACTGATGTAGAAAAATGAGATGGATGAATCATGCTTTCAATAAGTTGGTATTCTTAGGCTGGCATTCTGATTTTAGATTTCTGATTTTTTTTTTTTGTACCTCCCTTTTTGAGCCTCACTTTGTATCTTAGGATAGCCTAGAACTCACAGGGCTCCGACTGCTTCTGCTTTCCTAGTGGGGCTAAAGGAACGTGCTAACATACCCATTCTGCCTTTAATTAAAAGCAGGACTCATCCCCGAAATAACTTCAGGGTATGTCTCAAAGGTATAGCTAATAATAATGAAAGTTATGTGTACGTTGCCTTTTTTTTTAAAAAAAAAAAAAAAAAAAAGAGGCATTCTAGAAGGGTGGTGGTTCCAGCCTTTAATCCCAGCACTTAGAAGGTAGAGGCAGGTGGATCTATGAGTTTGAGGCCAGCCTGGTCTACAGAGCGAGTTCTAGTATAGCCAGGGCCACACAGAGGAAGAGAATAATGATGATGATGATGATGATGATGATGATGATGATGATGTATATATTATTATGTTTTATATCATTATATAATTAAATAATGTTATTTAACAATGATTATTATTATTAAAAAGCCATTCAAAGGTTTTTGCACCATTATAGCTGTAGAATTGACATAAACCATAGTGAAAAACATGCCCAGCGGCATTAGTAACATGACTGTTCAGCATCAAGAACAGTGAAACCAATAGTTTGTTATTTTGAGAGGAATTGCTTCCTAAAGTACAAGCCACTAATTTCTGTTTGATGGTTTGGGTTACTAGAAAACTAAAACTACAAACAAATCATTCAACAGTGTTTATAAAAGGCATAAACTGACTCTCTCCTAGATGGTGGTGAGATAAATTGGGGAGAAGACCTGATTCAATCTACGGGAATGAATTGGGGCCTGCATTTATATTAACTTCGTTGTAAGATCTTAGGTAAATCACAGTGTCTCAGTTTCTGTTCTTTTTTTTTTTTTTTTTTCTTAACTTTTTTTGGGGAGTTTGTTTGTTTGTTTGAGATAGGGCATTTGTATGTTCCTGGCTGTCTTGTAGCTTGCTATGTAGACCATGCTGGACTCAAACTCACAGAGATCCTCCTGCCTGCCTCTTCCTTCTCGAGTGCTGGGATTAAAGGCATGCACCCCCACACCAGCTTTATTTTTATTCTGTGTGTTTAAGTGTTTTGTCTGCATCCATGTCTGTGTGCCGTGCGTGTGCCGTGCGTGTGCCGTGCCCCCTGGACCCAGAGCAGCATCAGATCCTCTGCAACTGGGGTTAGAGACAGTTGTCAGCCACCAAATGGGTGCTGGGAGTGGAACCCAGGTTCTCCATAAGAGCAGCCAGCTCTCTCCTCCTCCCTTTCCTTTTCCCTTCCCTCCCCTCCTCGTGTGTGTGTGTGTGTGTGTGTGTGTGTGTGTGTGTGTGTGTGTACACACACCCTTTATTCTTTGACAGTTTCATACATGTATATCCTGGCTCTAAATCATATCCATCCCCAACTCCCTCTACTTTTGGTTTCTTTTTTCTATCTGTAAAGAGCTCTTATGATACCTAACCTAGTTCCATAATCCCTTCTTGGATGAGTCTGTGAACAATTCATTGTCAACTCCATAGGGTTTTGTGAAAATTAAATGAAAACCGCATAGAAAACTACTGACTCTTAGGCAGCTGTGAAGGATACTGTGATGTTTGGTTACGGAACCATGACTCAAAGAACTCAGAGATCCACGTCCCTCTGCCTCCTGATTGTGGGGTAAAGGTATGTGCCGGCAAGCCCAGATCTGGGAAAGGTCATGAAACATAATCTTCCTCGAATAAAAACTGCTGCGTGAGCGAGGCTGGGGAGATCCGTGAATACGGGAGGCATACTGGGAAATGTATGATGCCCTGGAAATTATGATGGGTGTAAAAGCAGAAGGAAAGTTCGGTTGTATTTATCCCGTTTGTGTGGATGAGTCGTGTGCTTGTCTTTCCTTCTAGTGTAGTGCAGTTGGCCTTTCAATGTTTCTCCCTCACCATCTGACCCCTTTTCTTCTGCTTCCTCCTGTCTCCACCCAGAAGCGCATCTTTCAGTCCTTCACTCGATGCCGCTGCCAGACACGGTGACTGCCTGACGACAGGCTGCCCTGGCTCAGTTATCACAGTGCTGATGCTGTCCATTCTAAAGGTACAGTACTGTGATAACTGAAGGATGGCAGCCATCTTGCCTTCCTCCCAAGAAGTCTCATCGAAGAAGGTGAAAGAGGAGTGGGAAGCAGGACGCTGGGACAAGTCCAGGCACACTTCACCCCACGCCTGTGTTTACCTGTTCTTGGCTCCATTTGGTAAACGGGAAATAAAAGAACATAGTGGTTTGTATGGGTAGATAGAAAGTCTGTGGAACCTGTTGTGTCTGGAAAATTGATACCGGGGAAGTCCCAAGGACATGTCAATATATCTAGGGTGGTAATGAGAGAAATGAGTCATTTTGTAGATGAAAAAAGTAAGTTGATTGACAGCTTTGCACCTAGTTCTTCACTAGTAGATGTTCAAAGTTAAATACGGAGATGAATAACACTGTCAAACAGTATGGATGTCACATGAATAAAATTATATCCTCGGGTAAGGAATAGATGGTGAGGTGGCTTTTTCCAAAAAACAAAAAAACAAAAACCCTCATTATAGAATGTCACCTCTACAGGAAAATAAATGCTTTTATTCTGTTAAGTAAATAATGACTACTCTACCTATCCTCGTAAATCAGCTTCGGAGATCTGCCCACATCATCTTAAAAAAAAAAAAAAAAGTACCATGTGTGGGGGCTGTGAAGATGGCTGTGTCACTAACGTGGATGTGCAGGCAGGCATGAGGACCTCAGCTCATGTCCCAACATCTGTGTGAAAATCCAGGCATGGTAACGTGCATTTGCAATCCTCCACTGCCGGGAGGCAGAGACCGGCGGCTCCCTGGGGCGGGTTCCTGGCCAGCCAGCCTCACTGAATCCCCAAGTCATAGTGAGAACCTTGAAAAAAAACAAGGTGGACAGCTCCTTGAGGTTGACCTCCGTGGGAGCACACAAGAGCAAATGCGTGTTCGTGCACATGCATGCAGGAGATATAATTGGAATAGAGAACCCAGGACTTAATCACATTCTTTCTGTCGCTCAACCCCCTTCCTCATGCCCCTGAACACAACAAGCCAGTGAATACCACGGTTCGGTGACATTGTTGGGTCACAGTCCACTGTGTGGCCCGGGTAATTGCGCAGAATGTGTGTGTTAGACTCCAAGCGTAAACAGGGTCCTGTTACCTCTTCCTAGGCTAATGAGTTTGTCTGGGAGCCTTACGACCCTTTGGCAGCTGAGTGTTAAAGGAGAGTCCAGCCCCATTTGAACTTACAGCAGGGAGGACAAAGCCACATACGCTGAACCTTAGCCGTTGAACTTACACCTAGTGTCACAGACCGGTTATAGTGCTCATTTCTCTGCCACGACAGAATGAGGAAAGCCAGCCACTGGGAGCCATCACTGTCTTTGCTGGCTTAGTCTCCTACCTCTTTCCTTCTTCACCCAAAGAGGAGCCAAGCTCGCAGTGACTTGGGCCACACCTGCTTGGCCAGAAACACACTGATAATGTTTACAGCCCGGTACTTCAAGTGTCTTCACACTCAACAGTTTCTCGTAAACCACGAGCTAGAATGCTCTTGGTCAGTTATAGAAAGGGAGGGCCGTTCTTGAAATTCCTTGGAAAGGAACTTTTGACAGAAACCCTGAAAGACCTCAAGACAAAGTTCTGGGATTGGTGAGCCCTCAAGTAATTTGAAACACTCGTAAATGTTAGTGTTTTAGCAGGTGGAAAAAAAGTGCTTGAAGACGGAACGCTTTTGTAATCCTTGGCTTTCGTATGGATTTCGCCACCTTCATGACCTTCCTGTTTTCCCTCTTATTGGTTTTACAGAAATTCATCAGGTTTTTTTTTTTTTTTAATTTGCCTGAGCTTGACCTCAGAAGACACGCATGCGCCATGGGACATTACAGTTTTCATGTTCCTTTTCCTGTTGCTGTAATAAATAAAATGCCCCGACAAAAGCAAGTTCAGGGAGAAAGGATTTCTCAAGGCATCAGGAGCTTGAAGCAGCTGGCCACGGTTCATCCGTAGTCAGCAGGAGAGAGCGATGAGTGTGTGCACATTAGTGCTCAGCTCGCGTCTCCCCCTGCCTAGGGAATGGTGCCAACGCACTGGGCAGCTCTTCTGCCTTCATTAATGTAAACCCTGCCCGCAAAGGGTAATCCTCCATGGGCATGCCCAGAAGCCATCTCCCCTGTGATTCTAGGTTTTGTCAAGTTTACAAAACGATCTATCCCAACAATATTGGCTGTAGTTTGGACTTACCGTTTGACTTCTATAGACAAAAGTCAGGCTGGGCCAAGAGAACCAAGGCAGTGGCTCCAGAAGCTCACCAAGGCCTAGGGTCTTTGAAATTTTGGGGGTCTCCAAAAAGCTGAGTGTGGTGCACACCTGTAAGCTCAGCACTCTGGATTCAGAAGTGTGAGGGTTACCCATGAGTTCAAAGCCAGATTGGTCTATGTGAGCCTGTTCCACACAGTGCCAGACCAGCCAGCACTGTATGATTTAGTCATTACGTATCTGTCTGTATCCGAAGAAATTGAAAAGAAGGGCTAAAGGGCTAGAGAGATGGCTTAGAGGTTAAGTGCACTGGCCGTTCTTCCAAAGGTCCTGAGTTCAATTCCCAGCAACCACATGGTGGCTCACAACCAGCTACAGTGAGACCTAGTGCCCTCTTTTGACATGCAGGCATACATGCAGGCAGAATGCTGTATAAATAATAAACCTTTTTTTTTTAAAGAGGGGCTGAGAGATACACTTGCATATCCTTATCTATAGCATTATTAGAAGTAGCAGAAAGTTTGAGGCCACCCAGGTGTCCGTGGATGGAGAAGAGGTGTACACATACAGTAAAATATGAGTCATTTCAAGGGGAGGAAATTGTGACACCATCCAACATGGATGAACTTTGAAGGAACTATGCTAAGTGAAGGCAGGCACAGCTGAACAGATACTGTCTGACTCACTCACTTGGGGATCCTAGGAAAAGGCACTGTTACCGGAGTCTGCAACAGGAAGAAGAGGGGAATTTGTACTTAAGGAATACAAAGCTTCATTTGGGGAGGGTGAAGCAATTCCAGAGGCAGATGGTGGTGATTGCCCAACAGGAATGTCATTAGTGCCTACAGGACTGGCTACCTAAAATGGTAAATTTTATGGATATCGACAATAAAACATTGGAGGTGGTGATGCTGTAAGATTGTGGTGCATACTGCCTCGTTTTCATTATGAAAATACCAATAGTACTGTTCAAAGCAAGCAGTTAACATGTAATTTCTGTGTCCCGTAGGGGTTAAAGTTCTCAGATCTGTAACCCCTTAAGCAAGAGTGCTAAAAACAGAATGAAGAGAAGGCTTGTACAAGAAGTCTACTTGTGGTGGCCAAAGTGAGCAGTACTGGTTCTCCTGTGGTCCCAGCTTGGACTTCTGCAGTATGGTAGTAAAGATGAAATTATATTATCCTTTTGAGCCATGGAGATGGCTCATGGGTAGAGGTGATTGCTGGCAAGCTGAGCTCAGTCTTCAGGTGGAAAGAAAAAACTGATGCTATGAAGTTTTCTTCTGACTTTTGTATGTTTGCTCCACATCATCTACACTGATAAGTAATGAAAAAACTAAAATGATACTCATCTCCAAAGTAGTGAAGTGTAGCATGTTCTTTCTTAACAAGCCTCAGATAGGACCAGGTCATTGAAGAGGTACTCTATCATGTGTGAACAGCTTTCCGGAGAATAAAACCAAAGACTGAAAAGAGGAAAAGAAGCTAAATGGTTTGTTTGTTTGTTTGTTTTAGTTTTGGTTTTGGTTTTTGTTTGTTTGTTTTTAAGACTAAATGTAATATGTTAGTGAATGTGTTTGGTGGCATGCATGGCTCAGCCCAGGAGAAGCTCTTGGAAGCTCAGGACCCACCACTTGTCCAGAAGACACAGTTAGGGATGAGTTTAACCTCAGTACCATACAGGATGAACTACCTCTCAGTCGCCATGTCTTCAAATGCATTAAGCTTGCTGAGGCCCCAGTTCTCTGAGATGGGGGATCTCCTAGCATCCGGGGAACTTGAACTTGGCCCTGCAAAGGCATCTTTTACGTGTTTCTTAATCTGCAGCTTGATGCAGATGGACATGGTGACCTGGCCATGTGAACCCTGGTCTCTGTGCCCTGAAGCTTCCGAGAGGCACATGTGTATTGGCACATGCCTGGCACTTTGGCTGGGCACAGCATTGATAGCAGAGATATGAGTAAGCACTCAACGGAAAACTGTCCAGCATCTCGTGGGGCAACGGTGCAAGCCCCAGGCTGCACACACTGCCTGGAAAGATGCTGCTTCCAGCATACCAGGCCCAGTGAGGAAGCGGGTCAACCTGACTGGCTGCAGAGAAATCACTTAAGATAAATAAGTAAATAGTCATTGGTAGACACTAAAGATAGATTTTATTTCTTTCTGATCAAATGCTCGTCGTTGCAACGAGCTGCTGAAGTCTCAAAGCTTCCAGTTGGATATTTTTGTTTGTATTCTGTTTCGTTTTTGGGATAACAATCTCTACCCTTTTCTAAATCCTGGGATCACAGGTCTGCAACGTCGTGCCATTTTATACAGTGCTGAGGATAAAACCTGGGGGGGGGGTGCGCAAGGCAAGCACTCTACCAACTGAGCTACATGCCCAGCCACTAGCCCTGGAGAGAGGTCTCAAAAGACAGGGCTGGCCTTGAATTCAAGACAGTCCCTCCTACTTGAGCGCTAGGGTTACCGGTGTGAGCCAATACACATGGCTGAATTTTTTTTTTTTTAATTTCCTTCTGGAGAAATGCCAAGTAGTGTATGTGCATAGCCTGCCCTCACAGAAGAAGAACGTATCCAGTTGTCAAGGATGGGCTATAGATTGTGACTGCCTTCCAAGGAGTAAAGACTGGCCCAAGGGATAATCAGTGGATAAACCTGATATGACCTTAGCCAGGCACTCAAGGTCGACAACAGTGAACGTGTACATTCATTTCCTGGGATGTGATGAAAATGGCACTTTACTTCTGTAGTCTCTCCTGCCTCAGAGTCACGAGAACACACCAACAAATACAGCATTTGTACCAAATGTCTGACTACTACCAAGAACTGCCATGGTCATCATTAAAAAAATGAACTCTGGGTTTGGTAGCACACAGGTTTTCCATTTTTTCTTCCCCTCAGTATTAACGAGGTAGAGGCAGGCAGATTTCTGAGTTCCAGGCAGGGCTATATAGTGACACCCTGTCTCTAAACACACACACACACACACACACACACACAATGATTATATAAATCATAAGTGTAGTCCAGCAGCAGTTTATCTTTAGCCAGCTATTTACCCGAGTAATGACACATGGAGACTGTGATTTATTTAATTAGCCTAGAGCACAATACTGAGCAATAATTACTGCTCCCTAAACCTCCAGGTTAGTCTAGCTTCCTCCCAGCCGAATTTCCCAGTCATGCTTGCTTTTTAATCATCACCTAGCTCTGGTTCGTTTTTCCT